AATATGTTCTAAAATGAAAAAAAATTAGGGTAAACGCGGTATATTCCATCACATTAAGGACGCATCGAGAAATGAAAAACTATAAAAAAATAACCGTATGCGTTACTCAAGTTCTGTTTGCTTTAGGTGACTCTCAAAACACCGTAGTATGCGTCGGCAACCAGTGTGGAATTCTGTATCGGTAATATATTATCATGTTAACATAATTGAATGGATCAACAAACTTACCACATTACACCTTCCAGTGCTTAGACCAAGGTGACAATTGATACACTTTACACTGAGCTCATCAGAAATTGCTGACTGCTGCGCTTCCTTTATCTCGCTTGCGTGTGGTTCGAAATCCAATACCAAGTCGGCGACTCCTCCCTCGAATGCATACAATAGTCATTTATCCATATCAACAAATTTTTGTAATGAATATGTTCTAAAATGAAAAAAATTAGGTACATCAACTTTTGCAGAAAATCCTCATGATTTCACCAATACCAACAAAGTTTTCGAATCCACACGAAATGATGGGATAAACTGCTAATCTTTCATGGATTATGGGAACATTGTGCTGCCATGTTAACATTAGGCAAGAGGTGGCAGGGTGGTGGCAACCACGTTGTGGCAGGGTGGCCCAGCGGTGACAGTTCAGAGTACCAAGATTGGAGCAGAAAGGCGCAGGTTTGATCCCAGCTCTGTGCGCCAGTTTCTGGTCAGAATCGGCAAGGAGGCCGGGTGGTTAAGCACAGCAAAAATTGAAGCAGTGAGTTGCGAGTTCAAGCCCGCAACATGCTGTGGATGTTCTGCAATGTTAAGAATTGGCAACAGGCCTACGGTCTAATAAACGCTGAAACCGCTATTTATTTATAAGAGAGTGTCAGAGACCTTGTTTTGGTCTTGTGAATTTGATTTCACAATAAATAGATTTGATCCACATTTTACACTGACATTTAAATGATGGAAAATTGTTTCAAAATTGATTCTCTTCCAGATATGAATTTTTCATGTTTTTGCCCTATAATATTGATGTTGTCTTAATAACTTCATATCAAATTCTGAATGAATTTGTCTCCCATTGCAAGTTTTCTAACGTCTTGTGTCTTTTAGAAAATGTTTGTTGTTTAAAAGGGGAAACTATTGCATTATATAAAACATCAAGCATGTACCATGAGGTGTATTAAATAATTCAATTTAATTTAATAAAATTAATTTTTAATTTTAAAATTTTAATCAAAATTTTCAATTCGACATTTTTTTAAGGGGATCGTCTGGGTCCAGGAAAAACTTCTGCATTTATTAACCAATCTTCCTGAAATTTCACACACATATGAAAGTTGTAAAATAAAAAATAATTTGCTTGTATGAATTTTTCAGAAAAAATTGAAGAAAACAAAAAATTAATAGAAAACGTCAAAATAGGGGGTACTCTCAAAAAGTTTCTAACTTTAGCAAATCACAAGCTACAATGTTGAGATACATATCATTCAATTTGTAACAACATTAACTAGCAACTCTAGAGGCCTAATTTTTTATTTTCCTCGTCATTTTTCTTTTATGTGCATTTTTCTCAATTTTTACACATTTTCCCCCCTTCCCCCACCCCTCCCACATATATAAGTCAAACCTTGCTCAAATTCGAAAAAAGGGCTTCTAGAGTTGCTAGGTATGGTCTTTACGAATCAAATGGTATCTCCTTCATTGCTGTAGCTTGAAAATTGTTGAAGTTATTACATTTTTCAGATGCGTTTTTTGGATTTTTTAAATTTTTCAAGGAAGCCAATTAAAGTAAAATTGATTGAAAAATGAAGAATATGTCACACATTTCTTGATATTATAGCCCAAGCTTTTTATTGTAGCCCAAGCTTTTTTGGGGGTATCCCAAATAGCCCCGGGGGTGTCCCGAATAGCCCCGGGGGTGTCCCGAATAGCCCCGGGGGTGTCCCGAGTAGCCCTGCCGTGCGGAAATGGCCACCATTTTTTTTTGATTGAGGTATGTAAATTCCGCAAATAAAGTTTTCATGCTGACACTTGTATGCCACTTTTTTCTAAGCAAAATTTTTTAATATAGCAAATATATTTTTTACTACAGACCTTAGCAGAAGTAACTTTTCAAAATATAATTTTCACCATTTTTTTCAGGAATTTTTTGAAGCTGGTAAATGTAGTATTTTTGAACTTCCTTTATACTACATAGATAGGAAAAATGTTGACGTTTACGCCACTATATTTAGTTTTGCTATATTCCAATTAGTTTTGCTACTAAAACAGTTTTACGCTGTGTAGGAGGACTCCCAAGTTACCCCGCCCATCCTGAATAGCCCTGGTTGACGGTAGTAGCTTTGTTGAACGCGTCTTTTTGTAGCTTTCAAACGAGTGCAAACACTTTGCAATTAACGCAAATAATGATCTATAAATGCTATTTTTAAATAAAAAATGTGTAAATATTGATATAAAATGGACATTTTATAAAAGTTCTTAACAACCTTGCGCCAAATCTATTGCACGTACATTCTTGGTAGAGTTTTTGTTGAATGCGCCTTGTTTGTAGCTGTCAAACGAGTGCAAACACTTTGCAATTAACAAGCATAGTGATCAATAAATTTAGATTTAAGTTGAAGAAATTTTTGTACATATTGTTAAAAAATGTTCATTTTATATATTTTAAAAAATTTTTGAAAAAAATTAGAGATCACACATGCATCCGGATTGCTGCATTAGACGCACCTTTTCAGCAGCTACAAAATGAGCCAATAAAACGGAAAAACCAAAATTTTAGATTTTTGACCCAGACGATCCCCTTAATGGAATTCAATTCTACAGCATATACCATCTGGTGTATTAAATAACTAAATTTAATTGAATACAATTTAATTTTAATTCATTTTTCAAAATTTAATTTAATTCTACAGCTGCTACTGGTAAAAATGAGCATCATAAAAACAAAAGTAAAATTCATACATTTGTCATTCATACACCCCAAATTGAATGACAATGAATGAATTTGATAGGTGTATTATTTATTAATCCTGTTCATATATAGGAATGGAATTGTCACTTCTATTTCGGAATCTGTTCCTGATTACATTTGTGAAACTACTGTAATATGTACAGACATTACAGTAAATACCATATCCATAATACTATAGTACTTACAAACAGTAATATTAGTCGCATTGCAGCATTGCCAACCATAATATTACTGCTTGTTGCCACTTCATACGGCCAACGCCAACCTTCCGGAAGCGGCATTGCTGACTGCCAACCGTCCGATGCAGTTGCTGCTTAGCTTTCACTGAGTGAGTGTGTAGTATTGGACAGGGTGGCCCAGTGGTTAAAGTTTAGAGTACCAAGATTGACATACTAGAGAGGCATGGGTTTGATCCCAGCTCTGTGGGGCAGTTTCTGGTCAGAATCGGCAAGGAGGCCGGGCAGTTAAGCACAGCAGAATTGTAGCAGTGAGTTGTGAGTTTGAGACCTCAAAATGCTGTGAATGTTCTGCGATGCTAAGAATCGGCCAGAGGCCTATGGCCTAATAAACGCTGAAACCGCTATTATTATCATTATTATGTGATTTTGCTCTCTCGCAATAGCTTCCCAGTGCCTCATGTTAAGTTCAACTCTTATTGGTGGTGTGATTTATTATTGATTCATAAATTTTAGGTTGTTGTGTTTGACTGGGAGACAAATTGCTAATGAATTAATATTTAGTCTAATTGAAATCTTGAAGTATTGAAAGTTGCAACCTACATTCTTGATTCTTTCAAGTGTAACTTTAATCCCTCTCTATTTTTATTCTTTCTTTCTCAACTAAAATTTATGTATCAAAAAAGTGGTTAAGGTGGATCAAAATAAAGATTGAACCTTAATTTTTAGAATTCCATCCTGAGTCATGGAATTTGATTTTCATTTTCCTGTTCTCAGTGTCCTGGAAAGTCATGGGATTTCATTTCAGGTTATGGAAATTACAAATAAATATGAAGAAAAAAAAGGAAGTGTTTTTCGGTGCTGCATGTGTTGACCCATTGTTGAGCGGTTACATTTGGAACCAGTGGAGAAAAATGGATTCATAATAAAATTGTGAGATCAAATAAATATACAAGTGGATGCATAGGTTTGATACACAACTTGTACATGTTCTGGCAAAGTTTGGTTTTGCTGCACAAACTACTCTCTTTTCACTTAACTTTCAAAGATTACTAGAACCAGGTCATGGAAAAGTCACGGAATTTTTTCTAAATACCAGTACGCACCCTGTAATAGACATCAGAGCATAATAACAGCATGAAAAATTTTCATCTACTTATACCTATATTATAATTTCCCCAGACTCCATTGAGCTTTTCCATTCCATTTTCTCCATTGAGCTTTTGAGAAGATGAAAAAATTAATAGCTGGCCCATGAAGTAAAATATTGTGATATCACAATTATTGAGGTTGTGATTGTTAAAAGTTGATTACTGCATAAGCCACATGAAATAATGTTTGGACAGTGAATTGGTTGCTGTTGATGAGGGACGGAGGGGGAGTTGTTGCATTTGCAGCTTAACTCTTTAGCTTTCATTATTGTTTGTTAATTACTTGTGTACTTTGTTCTCTCTTTATGTAAATATTCATGTGAACTTTTTTCTCCCTATCTTATGCTAGTTTGCAGAACAATGATACTGACTACTATCAAGCACACGCAAGTCAATATTTGGCTGGTACTAAACTTAACTTGCCATGCATATATACAAACCATATAATGCTGGTCAGAACTATAATTTGCCAGGTTTGGTTACATATAATTAGAGATGCATGTCTCTGACTGATTTAAAACAAGACATTATATTTTTTTAGTAAAATAAAATTACTTGAGTGGTTTCAGGTTTCTCTGGAGGCCATTTGACTAGTAGTGGATAGAAAGTTCATTATGAATCATTAACTTTGTATAACAAAACTGAACTGAACTCAGCTTTAACATCAATGTCACTTATGCTGCCACAGCACTCATGTTACTGGCTTCAACAGAAATAATATATTTTATGAACAAAACTGAATCACAACTTTCAAGCAAGTTTGAAACTGTTTGTACGTTAAAAATATTAAGTAATCACATGGGTGAATTTGTGATGCTTTTGAGGTGATCATGCCTTTTTAAAAAATCCAGTTTGCTCAACTTTTTTGTCAAGAGAGATAAAAGATACACATTTGTAGCCAAACTCAAGTGCAGCTACATATCTAAAAACATGACATATATTATGAAACTATTTTCAAACTTATGTAAGTATTTTCTTGCTACAGACAAGCTTTTTGCACCTCATTGTTTTTATTAAAAACTAGCAATGGCAGCAGATGTCATCTGAATGTGGCTACCTGATGTTCTAGATGATCTGAATTATATATTTGCAACAAAATAGTTTTTTTTATTGATATTAAGCTACTGGTCTTGATGTGACTGTTGCATGACCCTGCTTAAAAAGCCTATAAAAATATTACTTCATACTACTGCAGTGTAGGAAATTTTAATATTACAAATAATATAACTTGTAAGAATTAACAGGACTTTAACTTACATCAATTTTGCCAAATGAATTAGTATTTTTTTCTTTTAGTGTACTGAATAGCTCAATAATTTGGTTTATTTGTTTATTTTCTGTTGTTCCTTCTTCATCTTTAATTTGGTGAATTGAATAATCAAAAAGTTATGAAGAATGTTTTCTTTATCTACAGATTACTGAGTCCTAGATTGAATCATTGAATAAAACTTGTTTGGAAACAATGGAGAACACAGTAGTGATGCTGCAATCCTTGGTAGATGCCGAAGACATGAGGCCTTTTCCTGACTCATATCCGATGCATCCCTCCCATAAAAACACTGAAGACATCTTTCCCTTTCTAGTCCGAGGTGAGGAGGGAATTTTTTTAATAATTTTAATCAATGGTCTGTCAATTTAAAAGCCACAGAAATTCATATTATTAAATTGCAATAATCTTTGGAAAATATTAAAATTTTATCAAATTTTCTTTGTCTCGCTTCTGATTCAGTTAAAGCAATCATTGCTTTATTTTTATTTAGCTAATGCAAAGAAATTACATTTTGAAATTGATTGATATTGAACTTGATTGAGGCCCATTATTCTCAGATACAGAATTATCAAACTAACTGCATTTTTTAGTTAGGTAGGGATTTTTTTTGTTATTTAAAATTCATGGAATGCTACTGTAACAAAGATAGAAGTCAGCTGTAGAAGATACATATATGCCTGCATTTTGATTTTAGGTATAATTGTTTAAACTGATATAATTTTGCTGAGTATTATATACAACAGGGCCTGACTTACTTACCATCTTTCCTTCAAGTGAAGACAAGAGATCTGAGGAGTTCTTGCATCAATCCTGCTATCTCTAGTGAGGAAGTGGAGGAAGCTGAGGATGAGAATTGTGTTGAGGAAGATGAGCTGGAATGCATTGCAATGGAAGAAAAAACTCACAATTGCCCTCAGGTAAGTAGTATTTGAAATCTCCTATCATTTATATTTAATTACATTTTATTCATGGGTGTAGTCCCTTGCATTTTGGAGTGTAAGTTGTAAAGACTTGAAATCTGGATTATTTTTTTTTCTGGCATATTGCTTGTAACCATTCTAAATAATATTTGTCTACATTGACTTATAAGTTTTTATTTTCTTAAGGATGACAAATCTAACAAGAGACAAATACAGTTGGGATCAGAGAATGAACAATTGGAGCAAGAAAATTCTCCATTGGAGATCCCTCCATCTACTTCATGTTTAACTAATAAATTATCTGTGTTTGATGATAACTTGATAGAAGTTGCAAGTGGTGCAAGGCAAATTGTGCAGCACATGCAATGTGGGTCTGTAGAAACATCTCACAACCACAGCAACTTGTATGATGAAGATGACACAAGTATCATTGGCGTGTCAGCTGAAGCTCTCCCAGTAATGGCACATCCAAAAGTAAGCAAAGGACAGCTTCTGAAGAACACCAAGAAGGTCAGAAATTGCAGGTCTCCAAGAGTATATGATTCTGGAAAAGATGCACGTCCAAGGAAAGTTGGTGCCAGAACTGAATTTAAGTGTAGGTTTTGTGTCTATACATGCCTGAGGAAAGATGCTTTAACTGCTCATCTCTTTTCTATCCACCAATACGGTGGTGGATTGAAATGCAAATTTTGTGATTATGTTACTACCAATAGCAATCATCTGAAAAGCCATCGTTTTTCTAAACATGATATTGGGAAGACACTCCAGTGTGATCTTTGTTCATATGCTTGCCCATTGATGAGCCTTTTGAAAGCTCATATGTTTGCTAAGCATGCTGTGGGAAAAGGGTTCAATTGCAAATTGTGTACCTATACATCATATAGACAGAGCGATTTGATTGCCCACCAGTTTCATAGACATGGTATTGACAATAATGCATTTCAGTGTGAATCCTGTGACTTTACTTGTCCTCGAAAGAGCATTTTAAATGCTCATATGCTTTCTAAACATAATGTGGGAAAATTCTTTATTTGTGATCTGTGTGATATTAAATATAAGACTAAAATCAATTATGAGGCTCATCAGTTTACTAAGCATGGTGTAGGTAGTGGTTTTCAGTGCTCTATATGTAATTATTCATGTGGAAGAAAAGAAAAGTTGGAACTTCACCAGTTTTCTGAACATAACATTGGCAATGGTTTTCATTGTGAACGTTGCACTTACTCATGTTTAAAAAGTAATCAGTTGAGCGCTCACCAGCTTTCTAAACATGGTCTGGGCCGTTTTAAGTGACTAAATCAACTTTATTTAGTCACTTGACTCACTACAGAGTACTTAAATACTCTGTAGCTAGTCAGTGGTGGTAGTGCACTGTAGCATTTCAGTGGTGTAGTACATTGAATAATATTTAGTTGACTTATACTGTTAAGCATTTCATTGAACCTGTTACTGTAATTGATTTTAGTTTCATTTGTAAAAACTCAACATTCATTGTGCAACCAGTAAATAGAATTGGATTATTAAAATTTTTTATTTATGCACTCTGTCTATGTAGTTGAACAAATCTCGACCATGAGACCAGCAAAAACCCCAATTTTGTTATTGTCATCTTAATACTCAAGCTATAAAGAGAAGTAAAATTCAATATCAAGTTAATGGATGTGTAACTGCAAGTATTTTCACTATTAAGCTAAACACAAAAGAATATCGTTACATTGATCACAGAGCAAAATCTAGAGCTATTAGCCGCATTTACGTTGTTGACGCACTTGCCTCTTGGTTTGAAGTTTTTCATGGTTGTAATTTTGTCAATGCCGTACTTTGAAATGGCCGACCGTACCTCATTGACACGACCGTACTGTTGACGTTACTTGAATGATCCGACCCCCGGCTTTATAATTGCTTAAGCGACAGACCTAGCATCACCTCAAAGCCGCACGAATAATCATGATTGGACAGATCCGGAATTGACAATGAAAAGATATCAATTATCACAGGAGCTCTCAGGAATAACACCAATCTCTCCAACAGAAGTTGCACTGTCTGTTGCAGGATGTAAATTATGAGCACTTCGAGCAAGTATACCTGCTTAGGCTGCTTTCAAAATACGGAGTTCTGATTTTTTAACCACTGATGATACATTATCAATAATTCTGATCATCAAATTCTAGACCCACATAATGATTTTTATTGCATCAGCAATGAATTATGTTATTTTAATTTCTCCTCTACCTAGAGCCGAAAATTGCCAAAATGTTTAATAAACGTCTGCTTGCTTTGCTGGCGTTACCTTTTTGGCAAGTAGAAGAGTCCATTTGAGCACTTGGCTACAATGCGGTTTCCATCACATTATATTGTATTATATTATAAATCAAAGCCTTACCAAATTTGGCCAAATTTAGATTTGGTTTGTATACAAGTTATTTATATTACTTCGCATCTTCATGCAGTATTTACGTCTAGAAGAACGTGTCATGATTTGACCGAGACTTGAAAAGGACAAGAATTTAGTAGAGAGTGTTCATAGACGTGCAACAAGGATAATTCCAGGCTTAAAGTGTAAGTCTAATGAAGAAAGATTGAAGATTATGAAGCTTCCCAGTCTCTGTTATCGTGGCCTGCGTGGTGACATCATTGATATATACAAGTAAACTCGTGGTTTATACAAGGACCCTGAAGGATTACTAGAATTTGAAACAAGAACCAACACCAGGGGCCACGGCTATAAACTAAAAAAACTGCGGTGCAACTCATTTATGCGACAACACTTCTACTCGCTGCGAGTCACCGACATGTGGAACAGCCTCCCTGAAGATATTGCTGACGCTACGAGTATAAACGCCTTCGAAAACAGACTAGACAAGGTCATGCAGGAGCATATGTTTAGCCTTGAAATGCCTAGTACCCTACGGAACAACCGAAATTTAGAAACGATTTTAAACCCACCGTCCGTTGATAAGATTTGATCAAAAGGCCAGTATTTTAGATCTGCGAACTAGTGAAGAAGAGTAGAAGAATCGGCGACAGGCCTATTCTTCAATACCGAAGATACTATACTACCGTACTATACTATGAGAAGTCTACGGATTATGAACTACATTTCACTTACTGTGAATTTCGCATTCGAAAAAAGGAACTTCAGTTTGGCATCTCGAATTCAGTTTGGCATCTAGAATTTTTCCTGTAATTCTGAGCATTGGATATTATAATTTCAATAAATTGGAATTAAATAATTAATCTATTTTTTTTCTAATAAAAATTTAGTAACTTAGGAAAATGCATCCCAATATATGAGCCTGTGTATTATATTATTATTAAGAAATGAGACTTTTAAACTGTTCAATTAGTGCACTACTTTTGGCATTCTGGCCACGCTTGCTTTGATGACTTGTTTTACAAATTATACGTTATAACCGAGTGATTTCAATAAGCGCGGAGTTAATTTTGTGTTGACTAGCATTAGGACTGATGTTTTTGTTGCCGGCATGAAGGTGAGGAAGTAGCCCATTTGCACTCAAGTAGCTGCGCAATGACTACTTGTTACCCCTGGATTCTGCAGAGGTTAATTGGAAAGTTTCAGCATTATGATGAGTCAATGACTTATGAAGATTTATCCAGGTGGGATTACGGTTTTCGATCATAGCTCAAACCAGGATGTTACTGGCGTACTACAGAGAAGCCAGGCAATTTGTTTGGGTTGAATTGGTGATTGCTACTCTTATTATTGCATGTTGAACATTTGTGCAAAAGTTGCCGCCTCCAAGAAGTATCCGAACATATAGATGGAGGACACCCAAGGCTTGAGTACTATTGATCAGCACCTGACGCTCCAGGCGGTACTACGTGCATGCCGGGGGGAAATGCTCTATGCTCCACCCCACAATGCAAGCACATGGGAGTGTCAGCCATGCCAAGTCGATGAAGGTGCGACCGAACCCCAGCATGACACAAACGAAGGCGTGTAGGTACCGCAGCAGCACGACGAGAGCAACTGGCAACCCACGGAACAGGACAAATCACCTCGCACAGAAGCAAGATGATATCCCTTCCCCTCAACAGCCAAAGCAACGATCCAGTCCTGTTCCCAATACCTGACAAAGCAAGAACGAAGACAAGCAATTGTGTCAGAACAAGAAAGACGAAACAATGCAGAATGGTTGAGAGTAAGGCCCATTTTCGCAACAGCATCTGCTCACTCGTTCACAAATATGTCAGCATGAGCCTTAACCCACTACAGGCGCAGTTTTCTTCTCATTCAGGACCAGGAGCAGCTGACGAATTCGATAAACGAGATTGCAACACGTACCTATCTGTTGTGAAACGTAGGAGCTGCAAAGCTACAGGTGTATCTGAGAAAATAACCCAGTATAGAGAGGTCTCACATTCAACAAGCATCTAAGTATGTACTATGGTAATCATTTCAGCTGAAAGGATGCCATGCCTTGCGGCACTAGGACAGAACAGACACACTTGTCCGGGCTGTTCCGGAAGTTGTTCGGGCTGTTACGGAAGCCGTTCGGGCTGTTACGGAAGATATTCGGGTTGTTTGGTGCGCAGGATATACTTGTTCCCCTCCAACACAAATGAAGGGACAGGCACAGCGGTACTTGCTGATACAAAAGTCGGTTTAAAGGGACGAAAGAGTTAAAGATTAAACATATCCTATCGTAGATATGTCACTGCCGGGATCGATAACTTTTTACGTGTTTTCTCAACCATTTCGAGCTGTTTCAAGCCTGACAAGTAAAGAGGACTCAAACTCAATTACTATCGTACTAATCACATTGAGGCGGACTTCGTAACAGCCAGGACTTGCTCTGCTCTAGTGGGCTTCTCCAGTGGTCTGTGCGGGTGCAGTGTAAACTTCTTCCCTGCGCACTCCAATTCAAGGAAGGCAGCCGAGTTTTTGGGGCTAGCACCTGACCACATTTAATCGTTAGACTCCGTTTCAGGGGTTCAAAGCCAAGGTAACAAGAGTTATGCTAATACGAACAGATTGATTTTAACTAGGTCGGCTTGATGAAGTTGATTGGTTACTGACAACAAATTTGTAATTGTCAGTTTATTCTTAGCTCACGTTACCTGCTTGATGATGGCGGCCACAGGACGAACTAGGAGACAAGGGCACGTGGTTATGACAAGGTGGTCGGAACACGTGGTGCGTGTGGTAGCTAGAGGCACTTGGAGTAGCACGTTGCCTAGCTGAGGCACATGGAGTTGCACGTGGCGTAGCAAGAAATGAACGAGCGTGGTGAGATGAACGTGGAGTTGCAAGTGTTGTTGTGATGTAACAAGGGCAGCAATGTTTGCGTTGTTGGTGGTGACGTGAAGTTGCTGCGAAACAGAGCTTTGTTAATTTTGTACACATGATTCAATTTGGTAAGTAAGCAGGTTATCACTTAACACGTTGAGTACGAATGCTTCATCTTGTACTATTATTTCTTTTTTTGTACTTTTTTTAAGCAGGGTTGCCAGACGGTCATTTTTTCCGGACATATTCCGTGATTTAGTTTTTCTCAATTGCGTGGGCCGGCTAAAATTTATGATAGGGGTTCTTCCTAATTAAATTTTAAATACTGCAAAAAGAAAATAAATGGAATTTTATAGCGGAACCTACAAATAAACTAGGATACATTGAATAATCGGCTTTTTTGGCCTTTTTAACACGTTTTTCTTAGCTCAGCTTCGCGTTTGTTTGTTTGTTTGTTTGTTGTTAACATTGACAACGAAAATTAGCCCACTTTTAATTGTTCTAGAGATCTGAAATTCGGCATGCAGGCTATTTTCGCCTAACAATTTCAGATACAATCATAAAAACTAGTAATTAGAGACCGAAATTAGTTTAATTGAGTAAAGTATATATATAGTATATATATATAGTATGACGTGCGGGCGCTCACGTTATAGTCGAGCAGGCGCTAACGCTGCGTATCATCGATACGTACAGTATGTCAAGTCATACTTAATCAAGTCTTAATCGTTTTTCTTGTGGACTAAAAAGTAGAAAATAAAATACTTAAAAAAAACTTTAAAAAAAAACACGTTTTTCTTGTGGACTAAAAAGTAGAAAATAAATTATGGTTCGCCCCAAAAAAACGTGGGTCGTGCTCTACGTTCACCATCAAATTTCCAAAATTTAAGTGTTGTGTGCTTTTCGCTTTAATCATAAATCTGCCCGACACACGTTTTTTTGGGGCGAACCATAATTTATTTTCTACTTTTTAGTCCACAAGAAAAACGTGTTTTTTTTAAAAAGTTTTTTTTAAGTATTTTATTTGTTCCCGGATTTGGCCGATTTTAGGCAACCTGAATTATGTACCACTAACTCCTGGAGAAATACATTTCGTGAAACGCATATGTACCAATACGTAGTCAACGTGTTAACATTGAAGTAGTTTCGATTTATCGTTATTTCATGCTGTAGTACATTCCGAATATTATGCTTCATGCAATTTATTACTTAAACTTTGCACATTTAAATGCTCTTAGAATCACAAATTTATTCAATATTTCTAAT